AAATAGACCTACTCAGATTGGGTAAAGTTGAATTAGTCCGGATGAGTCCTTACACCCGGAGAGGCATAACTGCAGGATCTTGGGTGGCACTGAGAAGGAGAACTTCACATTGCCTTGTACATGTCAAAGTACGTGTCACACGAAGAGCTCGAATGTCACCACCGATGGAACGTCCCCACTCCCAGTTGTTGGGTTCCTTCCTTATTTTGCTTCAGTTGCGAACTTCACCACCTAACACATCGTTGCACATCATATAACAGGCAGATTTCCGAAAAATTTTTGATTGATATGAATTTCTCGATTTTCCCGTTTCAGTCGCACTATATACCCCCCCCCCACCATTTCACGCATTTAACAACGCTATATCTACATCGAACATATCGAAGGAAAGTCTTCACACACTGAACCTCTAATACTCGGCATTAAAGATGAATATGGTGTCCTACCCCTTCTGAAGCTCCCTTATCGAATCTTATCAGCAGCTCGCAGTTCTTGTCACCCAAAAATAATGTTCTTGGCCCGTACTCTACATCATATCTTGGAATCAAGAGCTAGCTGATGCTGTCACACCTCCTGTCATCCACCAATAGCGTTCCCGTCACACCCCTACATTATATCTTGGAACCAAAATCTCACTGTTACTGGGAAAGGCGCTATGAATTTCGTGACACACAGACGCACGGACACACACACAGACATACTTAGCAGGATTATATATAGTAGGATTACGACTTATCTCCTTTGTCTCCATCGTTCGGTTATCTGAACGCAAAGTGACGAAAGTTTCACATTCTGCGATGAAGTCGTCGAGAATTGGGAGGGGATCCGATTCCTTGAGGCGATTCATCTTGTTCAGGAGTCGTAGACGCATCTCTGAATGGGAAGTGTCGGTGAGACCAGCTACAAAGACAAGACATTTGAGTGATTCGCTGTCAACATCCTTCATACATGCTTCCTCGAACTTCTTCTTGATCGTGTTTCCGAAGTCGCGGTAGGGTACATGTGATCCGCTCATTGGAGGACAGGATGTCTGCAGGAACTCGAATCGACGGCGAATAAGAGTCTTCTTCGGTCCGAATAGTGTGGTCAGCTTTTCGACAGTAGTGGACAGGTCGATGTCCCGTGGCTTCAATGGTAAGACGTGTTCAGAATACGTTTTGTAAGTTGCCTTGTCCAGTTTGTCTTAATGAGGTTTCGCTTACGTTCTTCTGAAAGCGTGTTTCCTCGGTCGTCGATCACTGGTCCATATCGCTTGAACCACGCATCTGAGTCGTCGTCTTCGTCATAGTTGAAGTATGGTAGGTCTCGCATGAGGTCTCCATAGACATCTGAAAATGCTGCTTTTTCAGAAGACTGAGCAGATCCTACCCTTTGCTCCACAAGTGCTGCCAGTAGCTGATTGAACTGCTGACTCTGCTGCTGGAGCTGCTGGTTCTGCTGCTGGAGCTGTTGTTGGAGCTGCTGGTTCTGCTGCTGGATGTAGCAAGAAACTGGGCCATCCATTGAGGTGTGTCTCTTGAGGTGACTGGAACGCTTGGCATGCTGAAGTCTTCAGACCACTGCTTCTTGAACTGCTTCCGCGGGTGTTCTTCTTAGGCCTGATCGCCAGTGTTACGACTTCGGGCGAGAGTGCTTTATTAGAGCACACGACGACAACTGACAACACACCGCACAGAGGGTCTTTTATATGTAGATCTGATAAGACTACATAACACTATAAATGTAAACAACCGCTCATATAATCATTTAGGACAGTGACCTCATAAGTATTGAGCGGTCTACCACTACATTCATGAGGGCTGAGAGACACGAACTCGAGCTGGAAGGTACTCGGATTTTTACTGGAAAGAAGTTGCAAGGAAAGGATATGTCTGGGGGTCCAAAACATAAGAGGTTACCCATCTGTGTCGACCTGTTTATGAGGGTCAGGAGCTACGACATTTGAGAGCTGAGAGAATGCTGGGATTTCCACTAAAGAGAACAGTAGTTGCTGGAAAAGGATTTTCTTGTGGTCCAAAATAGCCATCGTCACGAGGTTGCCTACCTGCATTTGACAAAGAAGCGAGTGTTTGTGATAGGTCGAGGCACGAAATTGAGCTGGAAAGTGCTCGGATTTTTGCTGGAAAGAACAATAATTGCTGGAAAAGGATTTTCTGGTGGTCCAAAATAGCCATCGTCAGAGGATACCAACCTGCATTTGACGAAGGACCTGTTTATGAGGGTCAGGAACTACGATATTTGAGAGCTGAGAAATGCTGGGATTTCCACTGAAAAGAACA